TGAGCTATCTCCCTAGCTCTCTCTCTCTCTCTCTCTCTCTCTCTCTCTCTCTCTCTCTCTTTCTTTCTTTTTTAAATGTATTTGATACAGGGTCTCATGCAACTCAGACTCATAGTGATCCTCCTGTTTTCAGCTTCCCCAGTGCTGAGATTACAGACGTGTACTACCCCACCCAGTCTTGGTGGCCTACTCAGCACACCCGGGAGTGGGGCTGGTGTGGCATGTGGTGCTGGGGGTGGAACCCTGGTCCCTGTGCTTGCCTAAGCAGGCACTTAGTCCCCTGAACTATCTCGCCAGCCCTCCAATTAGATTACTAAGTGTAAAAATTAGTGTTAGGTAGCTCTAAGGTTTTGTTGCTCCATAGAAACATCAAAAGGTCAAGCAAAAACTGTCAGAATTAACTCATTCAGGACTCTAGAAAACATTAGAGGGACATAGCAAGAAGAAAAATACTGAATTCAGAAAGAGGCAGCTAGGCTGGTGGTGTGCTCAGCGGGGGAGCACTTACCTAGAATGCACTACGTACTGATAAAAAGGCTGATTCCTCAAGAAGATATAACAGTTACCTAACAACTGTCTTAAGATGCAGGAAGCAAACACTGATGATCAAATTGAAGGGAGAACTCTACAATGTCAGCAGGAGATTTCAAGAACTGTCCTTTAATAATGGGCAGAGCAGTTACATAGGTATCAGTGAAGAGGCAGAGGACTTGAAAGATACCATGAAATAACCTAAACCTGACAGACACATGAAGAAGATTTTCCCTAATAACAGCAAAGTACACTGTTTTGTGTACACCATTCACCAGGAGAGATTTTATGTGACGCCATAAAAGAGTCTCACTAAATTTTTTTTTTTTTTTTGTGGAACTGGGAATTGAACTCAGGCCTTTGTGCTTGCCAGGCAAGTGCTTATTCTACTGAGCTATCTCCCCAGCCCCTAGGAGTCTCACTAAATTTAAAGATTGAAATTATGCAAAGAATTTTTTCCAACCATAGTGAAATAATGCTAGAAATTATAAGAAGGAAAACTGGAAAATTCACAAAGATATGGAAATTAAATAGCTTTTTCATAAATATCCAGTGGCTCAAAGAAGAATAAACATAAGAGAAATTGTAATATGCTTTGGGATGAATGAAAATGAAAACATAACATACCAGAAATCATAGGATGCAGCCAAATCAGTGCTCAGAAAGATATTTATAGCTGTGAACACATACATTAAAAAAAGAAGAAAGATAAAAAAAAAAAAGAAGAAGAAAGACATTCTTTTTTTTTTTTTAATTTATTTGTGTGTGTGTGTGTGTGTGTGTGTGTGTGTGGCCAGCTCAGCCCACCAGGGGGCGGGGCTGGCTGGCATGTGGTGCTGGGGGATTGAACCGCGGTCCCTTTCCTTTGCTAAGCTGTTTCTAAGTAGGTGCTTTAGACCACTGAGCCATCTCACCAGCCCATTCTTTTTGTTTTTGTTTTTAAAACAAGATCTTGTTATGTAGCTCAGGCTGGCCTGAAACTTGCAATGGTCCTGCTGCCTCAGCCTCCTGAGTGCTAAAATTACAAGCATGTGGCTAGAAGAAAAAAATTTAAATCAATAATCACCTTAAGGAACTAAAGAAAGAATTAAACAGCCCAAAGCTAGCCAAAGGAAGAAAATAACAAAAGTTAGAATGAAGTTAAAAGAAATAAAGAATGGTGAAACAATACGTAGAATCAAAAAAGCAAAGTTTAGTTCTTTGAAAAGATTAACAAAATTGGCTATACTAAGAAAGAGAAAAAAAGATTCAAGTAACTAAAATCAGGGGCTGGGGATATAGCTCAGTGGCGCAGTGCCTGCCTGGCAAGCACAAGGTCCTGAATTCAATTCCTGGAAAATAAAATAAAGTGAAGTGAAGTAAAATAAATAAAAAACAAAACAAAACAAAATGAGCCAGGCATTGTGGTATACACTTATAATTCTATTTTTATTTTTTTTGGCCGAACCGGGGATTGAACTCAGGTCCTTGCACTTACCAGGGAAGCGCTTATTCTACTGAGCCATCTCCCTGGCCCTACATTTGGAATTCTAGTACTTGGGGAGGCTGAGGCTGGAGAATCACAGTGAGTTTGAGGCCAATTTGAGCCACATAAGCAATTTCCAGAGCAGCCTGAATTACGTGGCAAGACTTTGCCTAAAAAAAAAAAAAAAAATTAGGAGTAAAAGGACATTGTTACTGATATGCAGAAATTAAAGTAATTATAAGAGTTCTATGAGTAATTTTATGCCAAAAATTAGAGAACTTAGATGAAATGGACAAATTCCTGAAACATATAAAGTACAAAAACTGAGAAATAGGGGCAACCCTATTTTGGGTCCCCCTTCTGTTCTTCTCTCAGATGGAAGCTTTCTTTCCCTCAATAAATATTCTACTCTTAGCCTCCATTTGTTTTTAAAATTCATTCTTCAGTTCTAGAGAACATAAACTTGTCCAGGTAAAAAACACAAAACAAACAAAACAAAACAAACAAAAAAACCACTGAGAAATAGATTCTCTGACTACCCCTGTAGCAAGGGAAAAGATACATAATCTGATATCCCTGTAGCAAAAACATCTCAACAAGACAAAGTCTAGGGTGAGATGGCTAGGGTGAGATGGTTTCACTGTTGAATATTCTTTTTTTTTTTTTTTTT